TCTAAACTAGTCTCCAAAAAGCAACGGCTCATATGCACCATCCAATATATAAACCTAAATTTGTAATTAAAAATCGAAATTTCAAATAAAAAGTAATATAAAATAAAAAATCAACATTTTCCTTCAGTAAAAAGAGGAAATTAGACAAAATTGCATAATATGTCAGATCACCGGTAAAAAAACACTGATCCGTAACGACCCCACACACTCATCAACAATTCGTTCACATAAGCTTGTTGTTTTCATACGTCCAGCGTGCATTAGTGTTAACTGATCACTAATTGAAGCAAAATTACGACAGAACATTTCAACAAGTGTGAGCAAAGATAATTTGGGCCCCAGGTTTAACAAAATAAAGAGACCTTAAACCATTTATCTCGTCCATAAGCCAGAAAAACCGTTTAACATGAATGGCTCAGAAAATGGGTACAAATCACCCTGAGACTCTTAGTCCCCGACATAAATACCAATTGTTAAATATATAATTATGAGCTTAGGAGCAAAGATAAAAGGAATCTGTCTTCAAAAAATTTCTATTCTCATTCCATTACTAGACAATCCATGAAACATGATGAAATCTGAACTGAGAGGTTGCTGAGTTCACATTACCAGACAATGGTTGGGCGGTGGGCAAGCACGTGGGTATTAGAAGAATATATGGAGTAATGCCAATCTGAGATAGAAAAATTATTTGATACCGATATTATAATTGCGAGAAATAATTGATGTTGCCAAAATTGCAAAAGACTTTTTAGCAATAACAAAAATTTTGTCCTCGTTTCAAGAATATACCTCAGCTGTTTATTTCGTTATTAACATAATTAAAAAGTCGATTATTTCACTCTTTTTATTTTCGCGGAAAATCGCTACTATCATTGCCGATATTTCCGTTATCGATTTTTAAACATCGCTATCTACTCTTGAGGATTATTCAATCTATATATGGCCAAGTTATGATTCGTGACTTATTTTAAACCAATTCTAGACAGAAAATTCCAATTCCAGTTTTTACTATATATATTATTATTTAAAAATCTAAAGAGAAAATGTTATGAAAGTAAATTTACATCAAATAGTTTGAACATGAACATTTCTTATTTTTACATTTTTGCAGAATATTTGTTTTCTAATAATGCACAATCAGATGTTTGGGAATGCAGTAAAAATCGTCAAATTTTGGCAAACAGAAGTCAATAATAATTTTGCTTACACGTAAAATAAGCTTGCCAACTCCAATTCATTAAAAACGACTGTAGGTGCATACGAACTTTTAAATTTGTCAATTTTTCATGTTTTACTGGATAACAAGCCCCGCTGTCTTAAAATTGCCGTGTCCAATTTGTAGCATATATTTATTAAACTTGTTCCATTTTGCAACATTTACTCCATATATGTCCCGACTTGTCTGAAATTGAAATAAATCTAAACGCATGTTATCTTTACAAATTTTCTATACTGCGTGGGAATTTTATTTGCTTCCTCACAATGTCGTCAACATAATACCAATAAAAATCATAATTACGTCCGCGATTGAGATTTGACGCAAATACGTAAGCTACGTCACCCTATTCAAAACTCTATTCTGTGAAACTGAATGCAATCTCCACATATCGAATGTAACATTCTCCTTGAAACCTAAGTACATTCTCAGCCAAGTCGACCTTAATTCAAGTTCACCAATGGATGCAGGTAGTCTTGTCTATGGGAATCATCCATAACAATTTATCAGTGGTTTTTCTACTTGGGTGGTTGTCATTATTAATAGGATGATTTATGCAAAACGTAACTTAAATAATAGCCGGCTAATCCAAACACTTCATTTTATTATACCTTTTCATGGCACGCACTCGAATTAATGACGTATACTGTTATCATTATAATACGCCTAACCAGCTACTTTAAGTTTTGCAGACACGGAAAATGAGTTTTGATGAGATTTTCTGAACACAATAAATTCTCCATCTCTAAAAATTAAGACGGTTCCCTATAAACCTGATGGCAATTACCTTCTTGCAAAAACTCATAACCAACTGTACATTTAGCTTGGTCTTAACCAGATTGTCTTAAATTCAGAAAAAATACATCCACGTAAATGCATTCACGTAGAAGTTTGGGAGATACGAGCCTCCCTGATTCTAAAATTTTTAAAAATTTTCACAACTCAAATGCAGTTGCTATAGAAAACACGTTTTCATCAGTTTACATATAACTATTCGTGGCGCAAGTTCTCAATTAAAACACATCCATTCTACATTTTCTCTCGTCTCACCATACCGGCGACTTTTCTAAATTGTTTATTCTAGTTCCCATGACCCACACGACGCCGTGTGAAGAGTTTTGGCATTTTGTAAACATTTTTCTTAGCTGAGTATCAAATTTTCACAGGTGTAAACGTCGGAAACAGAAATGGTTATAAAACATACTCAAGCATCTGCTTAAATATTATTGTTCAATTGTTTTTAAAACAATAGCAATGTCATTCGATTTTTGATTGAATTGTTTTTGATTACAAGGAGTGTGGCGCTATTATTATTTTTTTTTCCGAACATAGCGTGAGATTAAATTAAATTTAATCGCCAAAGAAATCATTGCCTCGCGATATAAACCTTTCATAAAAGAATTCAAAATAAATGCAGTAAAATATATTGTTGCTCGTCGCGGGAACCCTCTAGAGAAATCCATCTTGAAGCAAAAATTAATTGCGTCAGAATACTGAAAAAAAAACATGTAAAATTTACTTTTTTTCGCAATTCACCATCTATGATCCCTTTTTGAATACGATACAACTGATTTATTTCTACGTAATGTTCATTTTCGGTACTGGCGTCACATAGGTTGATCAGGTTAAATCAGATTATCATTTAAAGTAATCTGTCTGTCTTCACTATATCTCCCCGCTGACAATAAATTGCTTTTTGTTGCTAGTCTGCGGTGAAAACATCCAACTTAATGGATTTTTATCCTTTTAGTGGCAATCATCGATTTCAATTTCGTTTTTTTGATACATTTGAACCAGAAATAGGTTATCATTATTGTGTTGATATGATTTTGATGAAGTAGACCACTTGATATGAAACGGGGTCGAAACGAATGAAACTGAACTCACTTTTTCAAACAAGGTAGTTGTACTTGAGGTAATGTAATGGCCAACGTTGTAGGCTCATATTTCAGATTTATCATTCAATATCATGTAATTGCATGCGATTATATGTGAATTTACATTTACAAATTTCTTAAATTTTGTATTTAACTAATAGCGAACTGTGATGAACTTCAGGAAAACGATGCTTGCTACAATGCTGGCTGTTTGCATGGTCTTACAATCTCGAATTTCATGTGCGGCGATTGTGGAATGTGATGGACTAGTCTTTGTCACTGATTATGACCCCATCTGTCTGTCATGTATATGCATATACACGATTACCTGGCTAGCTATTTCCCATACCTAACTATTACTGGTAACCGAATAAGAGGCCATGTTTTTTATATATATGTATGGTCGAGTTGTTCAATCATATTTATGTACTTATTTAGGTACTGCTGAAGTATGCGCACCAAGATGTCGCATAACCTGAACCATAACCTGGTACACAACCTGAGTTCAGGTTGTGCGCCATCTTGGTGCGCATACTTCAGGAGGTCCCATATTTATATGTACATCATATTGTAGTTGCAAATCTATGCAATCACATACATGTCATAACAAAACAATAATATTTGAATTTATACATTTCTATGGTGACAAATGCCTACTGAAATGTCTAGTTTGATTTTGGATATGAAAATTCAAAACCCTTCTCAAAAATTTTCGAAATCGAACAGCTTGAAAAAAGGGACAATTTGTAGTACTCTTAACGCTAGAAGCTCAGTACATTTATTCTTTACTTATTTTTAGTTGACTCAAAAGTTTATCTTAATTTTTGCACGCTTGATTTGTAAAATAAGATTGTTTTTGAGAAGTTGACACAATCTTAATTACACCGCCGGTGACAGTGCGATTTGTTGCAAGTACAAACATATAATACAAAACACCTGCTTCCTATGGTTGCTTTGAGGCGTAACATAGGCACAAATGAGAAGAAAAGTGTCAGACTACATCCTCACCTAACACTGCTGTAACGTTCCAACTTGCTGTAGCCTACGTACTTTAGGAAACGTTTCGATATTTAATGGCAATTTATGTAGTTTCACAACTATTTATGTTGATTTATTTAATTACCCTGCCACGTCACACTTATCAATCTTAGTATTGAAATGTTTATCTTCCAAATGCAGAAAATTGACAAAAAATAGGGTGGCTTTGCAACACTGATTGCGTCATTGTGGAGTGCACTCATTGGATCCTAGTTAGAATTACATAAAAAAAATTGAGTCACCATGATTGCGATGTGTTTGAATGACAGTAACAAAAATACTGATTACTCGTCGAATCTTTTTCTGCTCTAAGATGACATCTAGCGACGAAGCAAAAATACTTCCAATAAGTAATTTGTTATATTAGGCAGCAGTAATATTTTGTTCAGGACTTTTTAATTATTGAAAACGCTCGACAAAAGAACTAGTTACAATATTCGGAAATTCTCAGCGAGGAGATGCTAATAAGTTCATATTATTATACAGGCTCTTCTCATTTAAAAGTCAACGACCATGTTTTTAGCAATCATTTTTGAATGTTAACTGAATACTTATTCAAAACCTCCGGCAAACATTTAATCCTCCAGCAACTAGAGTGTATAATATATACCAGAAGCCTGAGAGACCCAAGTCTAAAACGGCAGCAAATCCAATTGTTCGCTGTTAATTGACAATAAATTTACTATATTGACTGTATCATTTCATATAAACTTGCGTTATTTAATCACAGGATGTTGAAAAATAGGCAACCATGTCTTGTTTTCGTATAGAGTCCAGTAGAATGTTTCAAAAATGTTGACTTCGAAAACTATACGACCAGTAACGAACTCCGTTGCATAAAACAAAACCCAGGCATGTATTCTTACCCATGTGAAACGTTCTTGACAATGTTTTGCTGCTGTACTTCCCCTTTCTCGCTTCTAAAGTCACAGTGTATTTACCGCCTTCCTTTGAGAACTCTTCCATACGTTGCTCTGATATACTCGACGCTGCATACCAAGTTCTTTCGCTGGAGTAAAGAAAATTGTATTGTTATATATATATATATATATATATGTTGGTGACCGTACATTTGAACCCATGTACATTTGAACCCATGCGTATATCCACGGGTTCAATCTATATGCGGGTGCTAAAACCCATGGGTTAGGGTTAGTATGGGTTTAACTATCCGTGAAACAAAAAAAATTCCATAGGTGCAATAGCATACAGGTGCAATTGTCATGGGTTCAAATGTACGTGGGTTCAAATGTAATGGAACCATATATGTTTTGTATAGCACATTGAATGTTAATTTTGTTAAGAAAATATTGTACACGACCGTAAATAATTGATTTACAGATTTATTTTAATGACGATAATGTGTTGAAGCAAAAAAGATAATCTAGAATTCAATCCATAATGTATAAAGACTTCAATAAATTGAGTTCATTGGGTCTTCTGTATTGAAAAATACGCGAGTAGGCCCGAAACAACGTGCACCTAAAAACTAGATTTGAAGTTTCCTTGACGTTTTTGAGAACATTGCTTCGAAACCTAGATTTTGAGTATTTCGATCCAGGGCCGCTTGACTTCAGGCCTAAAACGCAACTTGTCACGTATGTGGTTTTGGCGTTAGAGTTTCACGTCAGGTTCCGAGTTTCTTACAGGACACACTCGTAGATGATATTTTCAGTATGTTACGTTTTTTTTTTCTTTTTTTTATATGTATTATATTATAATGTAACTTCTATGGGTGATGCTATTTTTTTGTAGGCGTGAGTTTTTGAAGCCTTAAACTTATAGATCACTTCCAAAAGGTCCCCTAAAATCGATAAATAGAAATCTTTTCCAATTTTGACCCAGAAAAAATTTAAATTAGTTTTCAATTTTCTTAGTGTTAGAGAATTCATCATAGTTATTAGGTTCTCATTTATAAAAAATATTACTCTGACAGAATTCAAACACTGCTCATGATTGTCATTTTCTACCAAATATTCCGAATTGCAACTTTGATCAAGTTAATTTAAGATCTACCCAGTTTATCCTATAAAAATCTGAGCCTAAAAATCTAGTGGTTGAAGAAACTCTCATCATTTTGACGCTATGCGTAGATACGACATTGTTCATTACGTATTTACCCTACCTTTTGTTCACGCTATCCTTTGCTGTCAGCGTAAGATGAAACGATTCAACATCCGATCGCGGTTTCTTCCAGGTGACGACGACGCTGCGGTTACGTGGGTACTGAAGAATGTTCATTGATGATGGTGGGTCGATTTCTGCGTGAAATATGATATAATAACAGAAAAATGTCATTTGATTTTAGCTATACTTTTGCAAAACACGAAATACAATTTGGGGTAACGGTATTTGGGTAGAATGCAAAAAATCTAATACGGTGTGTAAATGATACGGCCGTTGTAGGGGGGGGGGCAATTTTCCCACATAATTCGTGTCCCTGACATTGTGAAGCTCGGGGTAGGTGTGCATTACATGTACGGGAAGGAAGCAGCGCGTGGGTCATCGAATAGGTGGATGTAGGGAATGAGGGCAAGTCAATCCCACTCTCACATGTCTACGGTGAAATTCAACCCGATGAAACAGGCATTACAGTAGGTTTATACCGCCATATGCACGGCTGTGGTATAATACGCACGTGCTAAGATTGGAAGCGGTGACGCAAATTATGATGTCATTGCAACGTCACAATTCCGCTCAGTAGATGAAATATTGATTTAACATTTGAGATAATGATCGATAACAATAATAAACAAGAGAGCATTGCACAATGATCGATAACGGTGAGGCCCGAGTTTGTTTGAAAGATCGGCGGACGAACAATACGGAGGGATCGAGTAATGCGAAATAAAAGCATTCCAATTCAATTAAAATAAGGCAGCAAAATATTTGGTAGATTGTCAAGTCGCATAGGACTGAGAAAATTGGACAAAAATTCAAAGTACTGGAAATTTGACATCGATCGGTACATTAGTTGCAGAGAAAGTCGATTTTTTTAACAACAATCACCTTGACAACAACACAAAGAATAGACGTCTTCTCATTGTTTTTCGTGACGTCGTCTTTCTTAATATGACGTCATTATGTTATGTCAATCTCCTCTTACCTGTTCTGAATATATTTGTTAAGAAATCGGATTCGTTGACGTGTATAGTCGGATTTTTCATGACTGGTTTTACAGTGATATTGTATGGCTTCCCTGGACGAAGTTTTCGTACAATTGCTTCGTTTTTCGAAGTAAAAATTTTTTTTTGTTTTTTCATGGCATTTCTCGCAAGTCGAACTGAGTTTTTTCGGTAAACGACCGGAGTTGTTGTGACTTCATAACCTAAAATGAAAAAGAGAATTACAAATAGGTTTTTCTGAAATGAGAGATTGGGCTACTCGGTTAAAGATCTGGCGTCGGTAGGTCCGGCAATTCCGCTATGACTATCTTTATATCTGTTTCACAGTGAGTGTATTGATTAGAAATAGAGGCAGCGAATCAGTATCCCAATGTATTGAATATTGTATCTTCTATTTTGGAATATCAGTATTTGATCTGCAATTTCAATTTTTAAAACTACCCAAAAATTGAAAAAAATTAAAATTTCGGAACGGACTCCTAGAGCGATATATTTAAAAATACTTTAGTGTAGCTTTTACAGCGATGTATTTTATAATAGATAATGCTTGAATTTTTTTTTATCATTCTATTGTTATTTTTGAAAGCTATACTATGAAAGAATTTTCGTGTTGTTATGGTGATGTATATTAAGAAAACCATAATTTGTCTTCTAACATTTTTAAAGAAAAGATAATAAGATTTGATCTTCCCACAACATACCATATATAAATAACAGGAGAAAAGCTCGAATATTTCTGTTCGTGGAATGTGTACTTGGTATTAACACTATAAAAAATGTTGTATATTCAATTTTACTTTGAGGTTATGCACAATACATATATGTGAACGTAATTAACCCACTATTAAACATGGCCTGTAGATAAAGCTTATTCAAACATGGTCCATGCTTGGTACAGAAAAAGTGTTACTTTAATTCACTTTTATAAGATTTTGCATTTCCAACTTTCTTTTGTTTTAAAAATATACAAACCTCTTATGGCTTCTTTTATTGACTTATAAAACCATTTTATTGAAATTGTAGATGGCGTTGAACGCTTTAGAATTAACCTTGCTGTGTTGTCGATGTCGGATTCTGAAATTCGGATTCGAAAAAGTTGAATAGGAGTAAAAAAGATGTTGAATTATGAACGAATGAATTTCTTAAAATGTTCTTGGTGTTCATGGATCACGGTCGCATCAGATGGGATAGCAAAAAATAGGCTATTACTAGGCCCTTTGCATTATCACATGACATGAAACAATCAAATTCAAATATTCCAGAAATAAAAACTTAGTTATGGCATGTGTTAAATATGAATACTAAAATTAATTCGTAAAATAGGTAGGTAATGCCGAATCGAAAGTATTCGTGCCCTTCACAAATAGTTCCTAATGTGACAGTAAATTCCAATACGAGGCTTTGTTCAAGGTTGTAAGGCTTGAAAAAGCGTTGTAAAAAATCAAGTCTCCCTTTATCTCACAATTCCAATGCGAATCTGGAATTTGGCGTTACTAACTTCTCCGAATTGGGGGTTCTATGGTTAAGCAAAAGGTGTATTGATCTAATTAGAGGAGCATAATAAATTTTTCACGTACGTACCTGAGTTTAACAACGAGCTGGGTTCCTCTGTAGGAAGTATTATAACGGTATATTGCTTGGGTTCCCAATTTTTTCCAAAAACTAAATTGTACTCATTCCCAAAAATTAAAATGAATATAAAAGCTTTAAAATATATCAACGGAATTTTAGTCCGGAATATTGATTTTAATCCTTTATTTTCCATATTCCTCTGTGCTGAGAGTTGTTTTTCAACTTTTATACAGTCACTTTTACACATCTTGACGCCGCCCGTATCCTTATCTTTGAACTAAATTCAGCAATCCATCCGTGTTCTGTGTGTTCTTATACAAATAATTTTTAGAATACTTCACGTTAGAAAATTATGCTGTAAATACTTGAAATGTGGGTGAGTTTACAATTTTATGTTTTTAAAATTTGTCACTTGAGTACGGCCATCTGTCTCAAATACTATAAACCTCAATTTCTAAACTATATTTACAGAGCAATCAAACTTTTACGTATTTGGTACAACTCTAAGCATTGCATTTTGAATCTGCTTTTGCGAAGATGTTATCATTCAGACGTCAACCATCAATTGATAACTGTAACGTACCACACACTCTCTGGTTTGGATAATTACAAGTTATTTTGAGCACCTATCTCTAAATCTTGTCCTGCATTACCATGATTTATCGCCATCATGTGGTGTAAACGTTGTCTAATGACTCATTTGTTGCTTGTGGACTTGTTAGCAAAGTCAAGGCGGCATTTCATATTTGACGTTTCGACATACCCTGCTTAGATTAATATTACATATATTTATAAAATACTTCTTGTATATATAATCTGAATACAGATTTAAATAGAAAAAAGACAACCTTCTTAAGGTGGCTCAAACTTTAAGTTTAAAACGTAAAGATATAAAAATGACTTGGAATTTAATTAGACTCAGTAGCTTAAATAATTTCATGGACCTATTATCTGGTAATACAGATTTGTAGATTACATAGCAGAGAAGGGTAGTTATGTCACAATTACAGTTTTCCCGTTTCTTGACTCCACAAAAATTCTTCCCATGTTTTATCATTACAAATTTTTCATTGCCTTTTTTGCGAGTATTTTCGCAATTCAACGCGTGCAAACTGCTTTTCTTCTTCAAATTCACGATTTGCCCCGAAATGTTAGAATAGCTATAGTTTTATGAAGTACTTGACAGCAAATGTCAAAAACCTAGTCCAACTGTTTTTTATTCGAGATCTTTTTGATCATTGAATTGAAACTAAACTAAGACACTCTCGAATACGAAATGACTGCTGAATTGTTTCACCACTATTTACACCATAGTTACATTGATTTGTAAGCATTGTAACAGAAATAAACAAGGAAGTCAAATCTCAAGAAAACATCCATTCATCATATCTCAGAATGAATATTAATTGTATATGCAACTACATTTCAGACTTTTCTATACATGACAAAAAAAAATTGACAGTGAAGATCTTACATTCTAAACACAGAAAGGGGTGAATGACATGTCTTTAGTTTTGGCGCTCCTACAATCGCTTTCACGTGCAATTCGCCAAAATGGGCAGACATTCAAAACTTCGTACAAGGACTTGGCGCCCTTGCGTCGGCTTACTTGACCAATCTACAAGTGTGGTCTCGGGTCAAACATATATGTTTATTTATGTGAAGATCTAGTGTGGCACAATATTGAAGCTGGCAAAATATCGATCTATAATCCACAATATTTTGCCACACGTGGCCGTAAGAAGTCCAGCATATAAATGTCATCAGCGTATGAAATATTTTCAATCCATTATCTCTGTAAAACTTAATCATTGTGAAATGGCTTAAATTTATTACTTTTATCTATGTTGAAATCACATGTTAAGAATATAGGGTTAGTTTAGCTCCCCTATGGCCAATATTTAGCCCATCGGCCAACTGTGACGAAACCTGTTCCGAGGAAATCTTCATCGTGATCACCAAAGTGGACTCAGTTGAAAACTTTTTTTGCAATCATCATTGGATGTTTTGGCTGTTTCAAATTTAATCTCACGGGTTATAAAATATCCAACTCCATAGCATGTAAGCAGTTTTATATTTTAGGGCGCGATATTGCCAATTTAGAATATTAGGACATCTCACTACATAAGTTGCAAGATTACAGGTAAAGTTTATCAGAGACATCAGTTTCGGGGATAAAAATAGAAACTCTTGATTATATCCAATTCACAACAACATTGATTATACTATAAACCGAGCATTGTCCTAATGGGTAAAAATAAGGCCGTCACTGTCTTCTTTTGTCAGGAAGTGGTATTGTGTAATTGGCGTTATTTTTCACGAATGCATTCGCGGTATCAGTATCCACTAAAAACAAATAACACATAGTAAGACCCACTTCAATGAAAATGCACACTCTATTTCACAAATGCAAATTTCAAATCTTCGAATTTGAAAATCTATGCATACCGATTATAGGATATTTTAGTATGAAATTACATCCCACATTATAACGATAGAAATCGTCTGCATTCTTTGGCGGCGCGTCTGAAAAACACCAAAATATGACGTACAATTGCGGCTTTGCGAAACAATCCCTTTGTTGTTATAAGGCAGCGTTCAAAGTCTCTTTTCCCTTAATTCCCGCAAAAAAATCACGAGCTTATTAAAGCTGTACTTTAGGCGCGAAACCGCCTCATTATTTATATTTGTTTAAATGCAGAAAATAGTTTTCGTGGATTCCAAAGACGTATTGAATATTCAAAATTATTTGTTATAAAATGTAATAAAAATTTGTAAAATTGCTATGAATTGTCATAAAATTGATTTTGCTCAGTTATTGCAGGTCTTCAAAAAGAATCATGAAAACCTAAATTTTTCATATTATACCTTTAAAATATAATCGCATCGAAGTACGTCTTTGCTTATCAATAAATTTTAATTCAGAATAAATTATATATACTACAAAAAAAAACTATTTGACACGAAATGGATCAATGAATTATTTTGCAAAATTTGTTGTTAAAAAATAGTAACCACTGTATCTACTAAAGTTTTCATATTTTCGTTGCGGGCCCGGATAATGCACCTCAAATTCTGTATATTCGGTATAATTCGTTTAAAAATAAGCAGAATTTTGCTGAAATAACGGTGGGCAATTGGGCATATCAGTCATCAGACCTCATATATTTAGGCCATTCCTCTCTTGTTTATAATGTAATTTGTTTTTATTCATTCTCATGACGAGTCCATAGTACTTGCCCTGTCCAATACGTTTCCCAAAAATATTATTATTTTTCAAGCGCGACAAATATCAGTCCATTTAAGGTGGTCTCCATATAAGCACGAAAAAGATTTTTATCTTCTATTGATCGCTGTTCCTCTGGGTATTACAGACAAACAACTAGGCAGTGACATTTGCATTTTAATCAATTTGGATATCTGGCAGATCTCAAACACAATCTCAAAATAGCTTTATTCTCATCTAATACCAGTGCAAGCCTAATTTCTCAACGGCCCACGAAAAAGGACTTATTTGCAGTTGGATATTATAAAATTCTCGATAAATAGGTTACATCGATTTGAATTTTTTTTTTGTAGATTCCCTTTGCAGTAAACCATGATAGATGCCGATTTTTATTTGGTTGAATTTGTAATAATTATGATTCGGCGAACATAGTATGTGTACCAGGTTAGGATTGTTCAGGTTGTGCGTCATCTTGGTACGAATACTTCCGGAGCGCCAAATCTTTGAAAAAAAGACCGTAAATTTCAATAATAAATAAATCTTTTTAAGTATATCTATATGAAAAAAATGATTCAAATTCCAAATAAACAATTTTTTGTATATCCCCAACTATGTACTTTCATCTTCAATATTTAATTTTAGAAAGATATTATAAAATTGGATGCTCCTGAACAAGATGTCGCATAACCTGAACCCTAACCTGGTACACACCCTGAGTTCAGGTTGTGCGCCATCTTGGTGCGCATACTTCAGGAGGTCCTAAAAATGTTTACTTGATTGCAAAACCTTTTTATAACTTAGATAGTCTAGTTAAATTTATTCTATCAAACGGCCTACAGTTTTGGCTTTGGATCTGTCATGTGTCATGCCTTGCAACCTGTTACTGAACTATTGTACTAGTAATCAAATGACAAGCAATTATATACTCTAAAAGTTTTACATCCTAGTTGTTGAATTTCAAAACAGAATAGTTTGTTGATCTTTACCAAACACGGGGCATAGATAAACCGCTTCTCGGCGGTGCGTTTTATCAATACCACATGCCTGGCAGCATTAATAGATCAAAAATTTCTGGCAAAAACAGCTGGTAACTCGTGTTATGTCACACTTCTCACGTCAAGTTCCTACCACGCAAACACCTGCTTCGTTAATTTTACCTAACTGATTTTATCACTGATAACAAAGTTGCCACGATTTGCCTAACTAGCAAGAAATAAGACTAACAAATCAACCGTGAAAAGTGCTATTATCTAGCCTCTTATGTATACCACAATCATAGAATTTTAGCAAATTTTTAGTGGCTGAAATTGGATACGAAATTTTGTGCAAATTTACCGAAAATATTTCAAATTTACACATTGCAAATTTTTATGAACTCAGTAACCATAAAGATACTAACGGTATCAAGTCAGAGTATTCGTATTAAATTATTGTAAGTTCAATTTCTGGTATTTTATTTCAAATTTTCTTCCGAATTGAACTGAGCAGCACGGAAGTGGTTTCACCCATTTGCCTCTCTAAGGTGAACTCTAATTAGGACTCAAATTACAAAATAATATGCCAAGTGAAAAATAGGAAAATTCCTGTTATTGCGTGTCCAAATGAATCTTAAAATATCCAATTTTGGCGACTGGAGAGTATACTCTGTCACAATAAGAAAATATGTTTTTCTATAAATAAACATATGCACTGCGCTACTTTTCTTAGTTCCATATGCTTTCCACTGAGCCTCATTACAGAAACTTTTTTAAACGGACAATAGTATTTAACTGTCTGCATATATTCACTGTTTGAGAATCCCTCATATTTTACTACAATTTATTAGTCACTTCAACTGATTCATAGTATTAGTAAATTCGTAGCTAATCGTTGCCTGGAATATAACATTTTACTCGTGATAATTATGGTATATTCAGGCACCATTTAGCACTCAAACACGATTTATATAAAGACTGAAAAATACAAGCTAAGGTATCTCCACGAAGCTACATTGAATCTTGAGCCGCTGTCTGAAGCTTTACTCGGCATAAAAATTACGTAATTTTTCTGAAATAAATGTTTTTACAAATTCAAATATTTGC